GCAACAACCCAGAAGACAGAAATCTTCATACTCATCGCCCTGATGAAGGAGGCAGTATGACCTCTGAAACGTCGGTAAACATCGACCAGTCTACACGGCGCAACAACCCAGAAGACGGAAATCTTTAAACCAAACTAAACTCCACAGAGGAGAGTCCTTGAACACAGTGATTTTTTGCCCAACTGAGTAACTATTAACTACCCAATAGGTAAGCTACACCATGGAACGGTAATTAGCAATACCAGGTGATACCGCACGCTGGATTACGCCTTTCCACACTTCTTACCGTGACAAGCGAATAACATAGGGGCGATGACAGGACATCATGAAGCCGCACACCATATGGCAGTGCTAATTTGAGAACCAGCAACATACATGCTCCCCTCGCGCACGGGCAACACTAAACGGTTCTGTAAAATCCGGCATTCTTGCTCGGAGAGTGGCCAGATGCTTACAGGCAGCAGTGATACTGGAGCATTGTCTGTTACACAGAATGAGTCATCAGTTTCAGCCTCAGGAAGCAGCGAACGGACAATGTGATCGGTAATGTCTCGCTACACGTGCATTATACCTCAAACCGGGTTACCCCATTACACCAGGAATCATTTCCAAGATTTAACAGTTGCGTCTGAATGGGAAGACCTGAACAGCACAGTACACGCGCCGACGTAAAAGAACACATTCATCAAATCAAATTTAGCATCTAATGTTAATTAACTTTAGCACAATTCATTGTAAGAACTGTGCATATCAGTAAATATTAATCTTGTTAGAAACTATAAATTTTTGCGTCATATAAGCTGACTTAAGACTTTACTGAAATTCATAAACGTCTTCCTTCGGAAGCTAATAGTCGCTCAGCTATCAAATAAATTCTCCCCCTGTAATGAAACTTGAAGTTTCATCAGCATAATCACAAAATTACTCAAATATAACTCAACCAAAGCCAGTTAAAACCAATCCACACACTCGTGTCATTTAGTAGAGGTCCGTTTAAATATTACCCTCCCATATGCGACTAAGTATCCCAAATCTCTTTCTTTCAGAGTTTCCGACTAAAATCTTGTTTGTGTTTCACATCGCTCCCATGCTTGCTACATGTTCTACCAATCTCAACCTCTTTGATTTAATCAACCCAAAAATATTCGGTGAAGAATAAAAAATGTTAAGTTCCTTATTACGCACTTTCGCTAGTCTCTTGTCACTTCATTCCGAAAATTCTCCTCAGCATCCTTCAGTATCTTGAACACGGAAGTAAAATTCTGGATCTAAATGATACAAATACAACTATTTGAGTTGTAATCACTTTACAAAAGATCGTGACCTCTTAACATCTAATTACTGTGGTCCACAGGTCACATATAACCTACCAATTTCTCTTTCAGCCATCTTAACGTTTATATCTTTCTGTAATTCTGTCTTACCATCGTATATTAGACGATGAGTCGCCCTGATGACGGAGGCAGTATGACCTCTAAAACGTCGCTAAACATTTACCAGACTACACGGCGCAACAACGCGATACTATAACACTTTTATAGTTTTCTGTACAGCAGTCAGTGATACTACTCTACACCAATTTTGTTTCATTTCGACAACCTTAACCACCCTTTTAATCCCCAAACTCACGTAAATTATATTTAAAAATTCCGTCCCTACCTCAAAGAAAACACAAATATCAATTGATTAATGCTGTTTAAAGAAATAATCCGTGTTTATTCTAAGAATCATACGAAACAAACCCACTGTATGCGTAAAACGCAGAGTTATTGGTTATTAAAATAGTGGTACATAGATGCCACTGTTTTTAAAGGGATAATGAAGTTACGTGAGAAAGATGTGGATATGTGTAGGGCGGCTGTGTCCAGGACATTCAGGAGCAGTTCCATATGGGGCTCATCTCGATCCGGAAGGTCCTTCAGCCCTGTGGATCCTCTCCTGACACAGAGGACTCTACTGCACGGCTACCAGCTAGCCAACGACTATGTTTCGGGGCTTCTGCCCCCAAAGAGCAGAACAGGTAAGTATCCTGACCGATTCTTTTATAATACTGAGATGCTGCATCTGTTACAATAGCAAAATATAAAATAGGATGATAACCATGAATTGTAAACTAATAAGAACGTGAAGTGGTCGTAGCTTATTTGTAAGGACTGTACTAGACTTTATCTATATTAATTATTCGGTTTTTGTCCGTCTAATCACAATTCATATATAATTTTACAATTAAGATAATTAAAATATCATTTTATGTTCCTCATCGAACAATCGATTTACAATTGGAACATCTTTTTACAACATGTTTCGGTTTCTATATAAACCATCTTCAGGTGTAAAAGTTAAAATTATAAACTTAAAACTTAATTACAATTTCTGATATGCAACATTTTGGTGATAATGTCATTAGTGTATGGTAAGTTCTTATAGCTGTTAGCAACTGTTCAGCTTAATTACGAACATCGAACCGATAACTAGGACGCGTATTAATTGGGATTAATTTGAATCACAACATAAATTAAACCTGGTACAGAAAATAACTGCCTTGTGGGTTGTTACGCCGTGAATCCGTGTAGAAGTTTACCGATGTTTCGGGGGTTCTTGCCGCCACCTTCATCAGGGCGATCGACCTGATGAAGGTGGCTCAAGTTCACGAGGTATTTTGAAACCAATACGAAAATGGAATGATAACATCAAAACGTGTCTTATGGAAATACGTGATGGATTTATGGGTTACGAATCGGGTCCAGTGAACAGTTCTTTTGTTAGCTGTGCTGAACGCAGATAATTAGTCGGTTGTTTGGCCTATGACAAATTATTTAATTCTCTAAGCATAATGGATATATAACGTAGATTTGTATTCTATGGACTATTCTTGAACTAATAACAAGCTTATAAGCTTGGTGTTTAGGATATAGAAAAAACGTGGTGACCAAACAGCGTTCTTCATTTCAAGTTATGTGTTTGGAAAACTTCAAAAGTTTGATCACCCCATAATTTAAAATTAATGTTCCACATCGTGATGCGTGTATAAATATTATCATCGTTGATATGCCATGCTCTGGAAACAATATACAATTCTTTAACGGGACTAAAATTATCCTACAATAGACCATAATTTTTAAGTCTTATACCAAAAGACAATGATGAATAACTGTTATGATCCTTGCAGATATAACCTACGACATGGCAAACAAACTAACCCGAAATGCAATAATGTTTTTAATTTCCAGGCATTCTAAAACATTCCTATACAATAATATCAACGCCTTCGTCTTCCTTAACTTCATTTGTTAGGTCCTCAGGTCTGTTTCGATTAAGAATTCTGTAGGCTACAACAAATCTCAATATTTGAATTGATTCTTAGTTGAAATAAAGATAATCGTGAACTGCTGTCAATCAGAAAGAACATGCAAGGAATAAATCATGGCCTACTTTGACGAAATCTACTCTAACAGCAGTTTTCTGGAGTGACTGAAGAAAATCACAATAAACCTCTGAAAGGCTAGCTGGTCATCTGCCTAGATTCAAACCTGAGACATATGGAAACGTACGCAGCGGTAGTGATAACCTCTGTACCACGAGGTTCAATTCACGTCTTTGGTACGACTCCTTTAAATTAAGATCGGCCTTCCACAAGCCCTCCGACCACACAGAACAAGAACAGAGGAAACGGATGTACAATTGTTATAAGCGTCATTCGAACACGAGACTCCGATTTCTAGTTACAGCCGATCTAGACTGATTTGTTGTTTGAGAAATTAAAAAATTCTGGTCAAATGTTTACGTAGCTTCAGCAACAGAAACCCTGCGGAATGCCTATTAAAACTGCCTCGTCAGTCCGTCCGCATGTAATAATTCGATAACTTTCATAACTGGTTAATATTGTTAAGGAAAATAATCTCTGTCTAGTCTCCGAATCAAACGAAACACATAAATAATACATGAACAGAATTTAAAATTACTGAATGCTGAACTCCCAGCAGTGCAAATCTTTTCGACAAAATGTCGATACCGACCCTGGGGCCCACCCAATCTCCTATCAAATGTAAACCAGCATTACTTCCTCGATATTAAAGCGGCCGAGGCGTGTTGACTGCTCAGCTCCATCTAATGCCGAGGTTAAGAATAATTGGAGGGACGCAACTTTAGCCTTTGCCTTAAAAGTAGGTGGTATATAGTTAAGTTACCATTGGGCTTCAAAAAGTAAAGAACGGCCACACGTAATTACAGTTTCCACCGCTATTATGGTTTGTCAACAACACACGTGAGAACCAACAGAAAATGAGACATTCATTCGTTCATGTGAAGTGTATTCAATTTTTAGGTCTCGTGTATCACGGCTGGAACCGTTACTTACCGGCAGCGTCAGTTCACGTATGCGGGACATAACGGGCCTAACCTCTCTCCTTCCGACACAAGAGATTCCTTACTTCCAGTCCAACCTCTACGCATACCCACATCTGTAACGGAAAGGGGGAATTAGGGTCGTGTATACACTGGAAAAATGCCACTGAATAGTTCTCTTTCGTGACATCGTGGGTTCATCTCCCAAGACTGTCTTCATAGTAAAATAGTTACTCAGTTTCACAATGCAAATTCTGGGGATTTATTTCACGTATGTGTATCAGTTTGAAAATCATCTTTCACACATTACCATCATCATAAACTGGTAGCAACAGGCTAATTACTTCCATGGAACAGAGTTCTACTTGACTATTGCTTAGCTTGTCGAGAGATGCCCTGCTTTTTATGGAACCTGATGGTTCATTACCATATTCACAAAAGCCTGCCAAATAATCTTTTCCTGATCAAGATATATCCAATAAACCACTTCATCCCTACTGCCTTAAAATTTTAAAATTATCCTTCCAACTACATATAGGTGTCATTTGAATGCCTTCAGGCTTTCCAACAAAAATTCTGCATTCATTTCTCATCTTTCCCATGAGACTTATTTTATTTAATGTTTATTTAACAATCCTGTCAGTAGCGCTAACCAAATAGCATTAAATTATAAGATGATTAACCAAATAATGCTTTGGAAAGGAAGCAGTCATGGTCTAATTTAAGGTACTGCACCAGAATTTTCATGTAGGGGCCGAGTAAAACTACAAAAGCCTTCAGATTTTAACCCAGGACGTCTCATATATAAAGCATGACTGCTAATCACTCAGCCACAATGGTCAGTTTCTGCAAGTATAAACAGACTAGAATGTTAAACTATACAAAAGACAAAAAAATATCTGAATTTAAAAATCAGTTCCGTTGTGTTACATAGTGATTTAAATCACAACAATAAAGCAAACGTCGATGAAAATCAAATATACATAGACAATACAGCCTTCCACTACAACCATCCCAAATAATTTCTGTCAGAAGTACCAAAGAATACTTAGATTCAGATGATTTCCGTCTTCTGGGTTGTTGCGCTGTGTAGTCTGGTTGATGTTAACCAACGTTTCATTGCCCTGATGACGGAGGCAGTATGACCTCTGAAACGTTGGTTAACATCAACCAGACTACACAGCGCAACAACCCAGAAGACGGAAATCTTCATACTCACCGCTGTGAGAACCTCAAGTCTTAAATACTTAGATTCAGTTTCAAAATCATAGATACCTAGACACACACAAATTTGTCAATGAGAATATCCCATTACAGTGCACGTACTGTATATGTCTTACATACAACCAGTTCAATATATTTAATACACAATTACTGTATGTTTGAAAATACTTATTGTAAAGCTCTTGTTACATTTTGTGTTGATCAAAACAATGGAAAATTAGTTATAATAGAAAGACATAAGTAAAATATTAAAACAAATAAAAACATAAAATGAGATAAAAATGAAGAAGAAAATAAAAGCTTGTTAGTAACTGGAGCTGTGATAGCACAGTCAATAAGTTTCTGACCTACAGGTTACAATTACCGAGAGAAAGACACATTTTTTCTCTCAACGTCTAGAACAGATTTGGGGTCTACTTTGTCTCTCATCCAATGAGTGCTAAGGACTCTTTCATAAAGGTAAAATCGCAGGAAACCAAGGATGACTATTCACCTCCATTCTTAAGCCAGCTTATGAAATACCTACCAAATGGAGCTCCAGATGCTTTTGACAATTTCAGCACATAAGTAGTATGCCGCACCATGTTCTCAATCATGTTTCACGTCACCCTTGAAATCTCAGATGAGGTCAAACACCATTACATCCCTACTGTCAGACTATCAAGAACTGTAGCAATGTTGTTTTTGCTTGCGCAGGTCGCAGTGGTTTCAATAAGTACAGTCCAAGGGAAACTTGTGGCGGTACTCCAGCAAGACTGTGTAAAACTCGCTACAACACAACAGCTCCCATGTATGGAGTGTCTCTTACTTCAGGTCAGCCAGTCACAATCGTGCAGAAGTTTCCAGATCTGCTGCAGCAAGTCGTCTTTGAAGTTTGCGAGTAAGTAGTAAGATCAGCACCCAAAAGAATTAAATGGCTGACTACTCAAAATCACAACTTGCTCTCCATGTTCCTTTTAAAATTTTATTTCAGATTACTATGACTATACTTCTTCTGCTTCTATGAACAGTCTAGATAGGTATCACCTAAAGCTGTCCCACTATACGCCATGTAGG